CGCCGCCAGCTACCGCTGACGCGACAGAACGCCACATGGCCCCCGCTGAACCCGTCGCAAGGTCGCCCCCGCCAGCGGCGCCAGAGGCTGCAACCCCGTGAAGGGGGCTGTTACTGACTGGGACGGAGAAGTACATGCTACTGCTCCCCGACGCCGCGGTGCTGCCGGCGCTCGTCCCTTGTGTGTCGGTGCTCATGCCGCGGGTGTGCATGGCGGCCGGGGGAACTGTGCCGTGTGAACCGGGAGCTAGCGGCGGCAACCCCGGCGGTGATGATGATGGTGCTACAGGTGCCTGGATATTCATCAAAAATGGTGATGCGCATCTATTTTCATCAAGTAATAGTCAAGGCAGGAAGGAAAAGGCATAAAAAGATGCATTCCGAGTATGTAGTACTGAATCCGCAAACCCGAAGTCCCGGCCAGTCCTCCCTACAGCCATCTACTTCAGCCTCTTGGCCTCTCCCGACCTCTCGGCCAGAAGCACTGTCGTCAGACAGACAGATAGATAGACAGACAGACAGACAGACAGACAGACAGACACACACACACGCGGCCACTGGTCGCCTGCACGTACCTTGTTCCCCATGTCGAAGGTCAGCTCGTACATCTCCGCCAGTGTCGCCCTGTGCATGTTCCACCAGGCCTGGCCTTGAGACTGCTCCGTGAACATCTTGCGATTGAAGCGAACCTTGACCAGCCGAACCGGGCCGCCTTTTTGTGCCGGTGGCTTCAACGTGATGTAGACGCCCTGCTCAGCAGTTCGTCAGCAGTTCGCCATGCATGTGGTGGTTTGGGGTAAGTGGATGGGGTATGTGGCGGTAAGCAATCACGGGGCGAGCAGGTAGCCATTGAGACGCGTGAAGGCGGCGGGGTGGTATCCTTTTCCCTCGCACGCGTGTGTGGATGGATAGAAGTGGATTCGAGCAGTGGTTACTCAACACACAGCCGCATCCCGCTGGTACGCCTCCGACCAACCCGCAGCGAGCCCAGGCAGCATGCGGGTGCCAGTGTCACCTGGCCTTGCAAACCATACACGGCGCCACACACCTATGCATGGTGGTGGAAGATGCAGCGCGTCTACTGCCTCCAATCCTACCGAGCTGTCATGGACTCCCGAGCAACCAGCCAACCGACAGACCGACAGACTGACAGACCGACCAGCAACTAATCCGTGCTCCCCACCAAGGGCACCCTCCAAGGCCTCCTACCGGCGCATACTGGAACTGCACACCCTCCGGTGGCAGCGTGTCCGCCGCAAGCGCCAAGGGAACATTGTAGCCCGATGATGATGACGCGTGCTGCTCTGTGCCGCCTGCCCCGCCTGCCATCGTGTTGCCATGTCCAGGCATACCTCCGCCAGGGACACCACTGCCGCTACCGTTGCCACTGCCACTGCCACCGCCACCGCCACCACTCGCGCTGCTTCCGCCAGGCGGCTGCTCTTCAACCACCATTTCGTGATGCATCGTGTTCGCCCACTCTACAAACGCGTTTCGCCGCCGCCAGATCGGGGCCCCGCCCCCCCCCCCGCCCCGGGCCCCACCCTTGCCCCCGCCCCCGCCAACACCAGCGGAGGCGGCAGCAGCGGCCAGGCTGCCGTTTGCTTCCTGCACGGCGGGGAAAGCTGGTACGGGCCCAGACGCCGGCCCCGCAGCGCTCTCCAAGCACCCACTGCCCTCACCACTGGTAGACGAAGGGTAGGAGGTCTCGGAGGTGGGGCGGACCAGGCCGTCTTTGGTCGGAGACGGAATGGAACTTAGAGACGGCTCGTTCGAGTACTGTGGCTGTGGGATAAAGAAGAACGGGCGCGGGACAAGAGCAACGGGCCATGAAATCAGCATTAGCCGTCAAATGGTTACAGTCTATACACTCTGTCAATATCGCTGCAACGGTATGCGATGGGTACGGTACGACAGCTAGTGAGGCAACGAGAGAAGGTAACCGTCGCGCAGTGCTTTAGCTCACCTCGTATGGGACATGGCCAATGTGGTTTGGAGGACTGCAGCCCGCCGCTGGTGCCTGCTGCTGGGGCTGCTGGGGCTGCGTGGGCGTCATCGTCAGCGGCGGCCGCTGCTGCTGTGACACGTACATCTGCCGATGCAGGGAGCCCTGCGCCGCCAGCGGCAGGGCCACAGACAAGATGACGGAGCCCAGCCTATCAATGCCGGCTGCGGAATTCAACGACTCGTCCACGGCCGGCTCCATCTCCCCCCCGTCGCCGTCCTCGTCGTCTTCAGGCTCCTCGTCGTCCTCATCATACCCCTCTTCCAACACCTCCTCCTCAAACTCCGCCAAAGCCTAAGACATGACAGTCGGCATGTTAATAGGAAGCGTGCATTAGAAGAAGACAGGGCAGGGCGTGAGGGAAGGCCATGCGAAACACATCTAAGCGATGAACCCCCAACGCTGTGTCCGAGGACGGGGGACACCGTTCTTCTCCGCTACCGTTGCATGCAGGTGCATGCAGGTTACCTGATGTCAAATATTCCTTACCACGCAGAAGGAAGGCAGCCACGTCGGAATTGAAACGCGGGAATATTCCTCAATCCCCCAGCTTTTGTGGTAACACAGAGCGCAATAACATTTTAGCAATGCCACACCCTGCCACCACGCGCTCGACTCCTTGACTATT